GTCGCGCTCGACGCTAACTGGTGGAGCTGATTGGTCAGCGTAACCATGTCTTGGTTGCTATGAGGCGCGCAACTGTCCTGAGCATGTCCAATGGCCCCCCCAGAGTCCACGTGCACTGTTGCCGGCGCATTGTTGCAGGTGGATGTCTGGCTACACATCTATGCACATGCCGCTATAAGCATCGTCAGCTCCGAGGCAGGCGACGCCGACTTCTCGATGTCGGTCGCCGCGGAATTGGGCGCTCTGGCTGACATCGCGCAGACGCGGGCGAAGCCGTGCTCGTCCTCCCCGGCGACGGCGACTGCCCACGCGCCCTTAGTCAAGTCGGCCAGGCGTGAGCCGCCGGTGCACAAGTGGATTCGCCATGGTCCCATGCGCCCGTGGAAGCGTTAGCTCCATTGCCAGAATGGCTGCTGGGTGGATTCTCTCTGGTTCGCGTAGGACTGGGAAGGCGGTTGCAAGGTTGACTGGGGAGGCGCGCCTGGGTGCGTCAGCGATCGGCTCGGTCACTAGGAATGCGGAACGAACTGCTGCTCTCGCTCGGCGTCACTCTCTCTCTCTGTCTCTCTCTCTCTCTCTCTCTCTCTCTCTCTCTCTCCTCTCTCTATCGCTCTCCCTCCCTCGTTCTCCCTCTCTCTCTCTCTCTCTCTCTCTCTCTCTCTCCCTCTCTCTCTCTCTCTCTCTCTCTCTCTCTCTCTCTCTCTCTCTCTCTCTCTCTCTCTCTCTCTCTCTCTCTCTCTCTCTCTCTCTCTCTCTCTCTCTCTTCTCTCTCTCTCTCTCTCTCTCTATCTCTCTCTCTCTCTCTCTCTCTCTCTCTCTCTCTCTCTCTCTCTCTCTCTCTCTCTCTCTCTCTCTCTCTATATATATATATATATATTTCTCTCTCTTTCTTTCCCTCTCCTCTGGCATCTTCATGTCGCTACCTCTCGCACGGAGCAGGGTTGGGCATCAGTCGTCCGCGGTGCCACGCTGCTCAGGCGTTCGCGCGCCTCTTTGCAATCCTGTCGGGCTTGACGATGCACCTCGGTCGCCTCCTCGGCGCGCATCTCGCGGGGGGCCCTCATGTTCCCCCATTGGATCACCTCCTGGTGGTAGATGTATACCTCTCGTCGCGATGCATTGTGCTGCTCTGCCGTTCCCACTCCCGCTGTCAGTTCCATGAGCTGCACCCGTCCTTCATCTTGTAGCAAATTGTAGCGCGCGTGCTGCTCGTGTGTGTTCATGTCGGTAAGTACTCAGCGCAGATATTGCTCCTGCTGCTGCGTCTGCTCGGCGTCCCCGACCCCGACAAGGCGCCCCATGTTGGTCACTCGTTGCAGGTAACCTTCCTGTGCGTGATAGATGGTAGCTTCCACGTGCTTCTCCCTGTGTCGCAGCAACTCATGCGCTTGCACACTCCTCGTCTCCGCGTAGCCCCACTCGCTGCACTGCAGGATGCAGCGGTTGCGGTCATTGATGCGGGTTTCCGCCGATGTTGCTTCGATGCGGGCTACCTGCTGATCGGCATCCGAAGTCATGTGGTTGTACTCATATAACTCGTCCGCAATATTGCCACCCCCCCTCTGTTGCTTCCCCGTGTTGTCGTGGGCGCTGTTGCTCTTCGCGAGCCTCTTCTGTCTCTTGGAGCTCCATTTGCAACCTCTCCGTAGGATGCGCGCGCTGGGCGTGAACGTCGGCGTCGGCTTTCCTGTTAGCCCCCCCTGTTCCTCCTCGGCCCCTTCGAGCGCTGCATACTTCCGCATTTGCATGTACTCGTGGTGTGACGTCATCGATTCACTTGTCTGCTTGACGCTCTTGATCTCGGTCAGCAGCTCGTCGCGGCACTTCCGTGCCCTGGTTGCTCCAGCGTGCCGGCCACGTTGACGTCGTTGAGTTTCTTCTGCTGCACTTCGAAGGTGGTTCTTCGGACCCTGGATATCTTCATTGAGGTTTCTGAGCAAAGCGCCGACGTCTTGGCCCTCCCTTGTTTCCCTGGCCTACGTATGTCTTTTTTCGCACTGGTGTTGGGACCCTCTTGGAAGGGGCCTTACGTCGGGGTCTGTCGGCCTCGTCGTCGCCCGCCTCGTTGTCGTTATAGCTCTGACGCCTCTCTAGAGCTGAGCTCGTTGATCTCGTTCTCAAACTCGCTCATGTAGGCCTGCATATGTTGCGCGTGGGTTTTGGCGTGCTCGCAGCAGTCCTCCATGCTCTGCTTCGTCTCGGTACCCTTATTTTGTTGCACCGCGGACGCACTGTTGAGGATCATCGCGTTGGTGACACCGACCTGCGCCACTGGGTCTGCAATAGGTAGTCCTGCTGCACTATCATTGGCAATGGCTGCCGCGGCCCGCCTCATCTCGATGCGCATGAGCGTTTTCCTGAGTTCCTTCAGTTTGTGGTAGTTGGGTGGCGGCTCCCACGTCGTGCCTCCTTGTGGCGTAGACCCTTCTCATGATCATGATATTGGCGATGGTGCTGGCGATGCAGTCGTTGTAGTTATGGGTGTCGTCCTCCTTCTTTCTCTGCCTCTCCTTGTCAGGTTGCTGCTTCGTCTTGCTCTCGCCCTTGTTGGGGTTGCCTTTGCCTTCTGGGGTCGAGCCGGCGGGCTCGATGTCGCCTTTCACGGTCTTTCCTTTGCCGTTGCGGTTGCTGCCCTTGCCTGCGCGGCCGCTGCCATTGTAGGTGTTGCAATTGTGGCCCACCTTTTTGTCGGTGGCCGATGGGCGTCCAATTGTGGTTTTTCCAGCGTGCGAGGCCCGCTCCACTAGCGGGTCCGGTGGTTCTCGGCATGGTTGGCCTGCTTCGTGGGCGGTTCAACGTTGCCCCCCACGGCGGCAATGCTGTTTCCGATCCGCTCGCGCTTGAACTCCATGATGACGCCATGACTGGACCTTGTAGTGGATGTGGTGGTGGTTGTTGCGCGCTGTGGCCCGCGGCGAGGAACTGGCGTGCTGTGCACAGCTGGTGCTGGATGTCGTGGTCGAAGAGTTCTCGTGCAGCGGCGACTCGTAGTAACTCGCGCTTGAGTTCGCTGCCCGCGTAGCTGACGGTTCCATGCTGGATTGGTCGACGAAGTCGT